ATGTAGAACACTTAAAAACCTTCAATTGTTGTGACTTATTGAATCTAATGTTCACTAAAGAATTTAGGCTAAGTGAATCAAAGTTAATCATGTAATCGGCCTTGTTTATAGCCACATAATTCAAACTAACTAAAGTGGTGGAAAAACATCTTAAACTAAATTCATACAAACTCATATGGATCTAGCTCAAGCTGAAATAAAAATCTGAACATGAACACCAAGAACACATGAACAAATCTAAGCACATTCAAATGAGTTTATGAATTCCAAAATTGAAACACTATTAAATCTCAATTCAACATCCACAACTTCAATCTAAACATAAAAATGGAATCAAAATCATAACCTAACTAGGACAATAATTTTGAAATCCACAAAGAAAATAGAAGAAATTGTAGAATTGAAAATACAAGTGAGGAAAACAAATTTGAAAATGTTAAATCACAAGTTCATCTTCTTTAAAGCTCAATGAAGAATCAGCCACTCATGCTCCTTTCAAAGACTAATTGAGATTACATGGTTTCCATGGATGATGTAAGATGAAGAATATGAATCTAGAAAATGAAGCTTGAATGGATGAAAATGAAGCTGGGAGAAGAATAAATGCTGGATGAAATCTGGAATTAGGAAGTAATGGAAGAGCTAGATAAAATGATGATGAGAAGAAGAGAAGATGAATATGGAAAAATGAGGAATGAAAAATGGACGAAAATTGAGAGAAAATGAAGAGGGAAAATCTGAAAAATTTGAAGAGAAGTGAAGGAATGAAGCTGAAATGAAAAATGAAGGATTAAGTATGTATATAAAATATGACTAGTGATAAAACTAAAGTGGATGATGATAAAAACAAGAAAAGTTTATATCTGGAATGAGGTAGAAAAATGGACGAAACTAAATTTAAAATGAAGATAAAAATGAGGTGGAAAATGTGGCAAGGGATGTGTGAACATGTATGGGAATGTGACTCCTCCTTATCTTACATTCAGCTGCCATATAAGCTCTCTTTGGATCTGATTATGTCATACTTCCCATGCCTCTTCTTCACTTGATGATATATCCCTCAATGCTTCACATGGTCCTAGTTTTTTTATTTAATTAATTCTTCCTCAATTAATTTCTGAATATGAATGGCGCCACCTCATCTCCTTTCTTCATCTTCTATTTATTTGTTATCTCTTTGATTTCTCCAAGCAAGTTGACTTTGATCCTTAATTCCAAAATTACCCTAACAAAAATGTAAAAATAAAAATACAAAGACTAAATAAATTCTAAAAAAAATTAAAAAGGAAGAGAAATAATGTCCAAGATATCAAATTAAGATTTGAAAGTGACAATTCAACACCAAATAGCAAGATAAGGGTTCATGTGATCAGTATAGAAAAGGTAGCTCATAACCAAGAATGGAACTCTGATATACACAATTTGATATCAAATCAAGTGTTTTAGTATGTAAAATATGTGACTAATCACTTGTTTAACAAAAACGCTAAATTTAAGCTTGTAATTATGCTTATTTATATAAATAGGCTAGGCTTAATTAGTCAAAATCATCTCTAAAAATGGTTTGAGCCTGGTCTATTTTCACCTCTATATATTTTTTAAAAATGTATTTTTTACTATTTAAAAACAAAATGTTCATGTAAATTTTTAAAAGTCATGTGATGCGTGCATCGTGGATATTTTGATAATTTGAATAGATTAGATTTTGTTGCTGAGAAACGCTGAGAAATTTGTCGCTAAGGATCAGGATCCCAAAAAATTTGAAACAAATTTATTGGATGGCATAGGATATGAGTTGTCCATAAGGCCACCCTATCCCATTTCATAAATATGTGTATATTTTTTAGGGTTAATGAATATTATAAATCTTAAACTATTATTTAAATAACATTTTAAATTTAAATTCTTAAAATAAATATTATGAATCCTAAACTATTACTCAAATAGTAAATTACCCCTTTCATCACTTTATATATGACTATTGTTATTTTTAACTTTATGAGACCCAGTTAAAGGCTAAAGTGGCACTTATCTTTCTTAACAAATGGCATGTCAGCTAGACTATATAACTATCAATATTGTATGGATAAACATCAAAAGTAATTTGCTTGAAATTTAAAGTTCAGAGGAGTTTTTGATTACTATAAGAGTTCAAAGTCTAAAATATTATTTAAATGATAATTTATGATCCATGATGCTAATTAATCCTATTTTATATGATTATTTATATATTTTTTTTATTTTAATTAATATTTCTTATTTATTTTTTAAAAAATTTACCTAATTGTCATTTTTCTTATATATATTATTCATAAATTATAAATTTCTTGATTTTTTTAAATTTCTTGACCTATTCCTGATTTATTGTTGAGACTTTAAATAATATCTCTATATTCAAAAATATAAAATATTTTTTAAAAAATTTTATGTTAAAAATTATAAGATATTTTTAATCTTTTAAAATGTAATTATTATATTTTTTAAAAATATTTTTATTAAATAAATTATTTTATATTTATTTTAGAGTGAGATATCATATTAAATAAAGATAAATATAAAAAAATATAGTATTAATTTAAAATATAAATAAAATTTAATTAAAAATATTTATAAGTTTTACATGCAGGAGTGTATAAATATACGGCCGCGCTCTTTGTTTGATATTAACGAAATAAATAAGTGCAGCCCATCGTACAAGCAGAATGGTCCAATCAATCTTTCTCCAACTGAAAAGAAACAGTGATTTCCACGAGGTCGTTGATAGTGACACAAGATTCTCACCTGCCGAAAGTTGAGAGAAAAAAACAATTATAAAGATAATTTAATTTTAATTTAATTTTAAATTATAATATAAAATGTGGCCATTGCAATACACCATCGGTCCCCATCATTGTCAGCTTATATAAAATTAAAAAAAATGTAAAAATTAATAGTATTGATATAGTTTTTTAAAATTTTCAAAAATAATAAAAAACTATTGCCATATTTAAATAATCATAAAAGCAAATTCCCTCCAACCAAAATATTAAATATTTTTTAAAAAATTAAATATTTAAAAATAAAATATTTTTAATTTTTTAAATATAATTATTATTTTTTTAATATTTTTATTGAAATAAATATATATTTACTGTATGGTATTTAATAAAGATAAATATAAAAAAATAATATTAATATAAAATAAATAATTATTTTATTACATGATTTGATAAAAAAATATTTTATATTTTTAATAGAGGATAATAATAAATATTGCATGTGTTAATTTTTTATATAGCAAAAAGAAAATGATAGCCCTCACCTGAGTTCATGACAGGAACTAAATAGTGAAAAATTGCATAAAGGCGTTTGTGTGTTCTTTTTTGGATAAAAGGATAATGCATTAATCGGTAAACGAGTAACTTGACTTGTAAATTATAGGTTTCGGAATCCTTTGAAAACCTAAATTCTTTTTTTAAGTTATATTTTTTTTACTTTTAAAAATAATATAATCTGATTTATACAATTGATAAAAATTATTTTAATCATTAGTTGATTAAAACATAATATCAAGAATTATAAAATGACTAGTAAAATTTTCTTAATCATTTTCTGTAATTTTTTATATCATTGTCTGCAATTTTTGGGCTCTTAAATGTAATTTTTAAGATTTTTTATATCATTTTTTAGTTAACTAGTGGTTAAAATTAACTTATATTAATAACAAAGGGTAAATTATATCATTTTTAAAGATTGAAGAAAAATATTACATAAAATATAAATTTAAGGTTCTAGACATTTTTGGACCTATATTTTATGAGCTATTTTGCTCTTTTATCCGATATTATATATATGCTTCTAATTTACTTTAAAACATACAAATTGAATTGTTATTGGCATTTGGCCATTTACTAGAGGTAAACCGCATAAAGGCCTCAACAGCGAACAAGTATTTATTATCAGAGTCTATAATTAGTCAAGTGATAATGATAATTACTTTCATTCCATATGCATCAAATGCAAAAGATTTACTATAATTAAGTATTCGTCTAAATGCAAAAGACATACTATAATCGTTTAAATATATGTGAGAGGGATCTCAAGTTAGGTTCATGGGAACACAAAAATTACTCCATTTAGGATCCAAAACTTAAATCCGAATCAATTAATTAGAGTCTACAGTGACCTTATGGATGCAAGCTTGCCTCTTTTCCTTTTGAGTAAAAGAAATATTTCATTCCAAATTAAAATATAGAATGCTACCAATTCTACAATGGATCAATGAATTATAATGCGATTTGATTTAAATTTGGATTTGTTGAATTTTAACATGACCTTTCGCATCGTCCAGATGGTTTGTTAAAACACAGTTTCACACACACACACACGCCGAGCTTTACCAGTCATGGAATGCATTATCATGCCATAAAAAGAAGTCTGAACTTAAAAAAAAAAAAAAAAACTAGCTACTTTAACAAGTTTATATTTCATGCAGCTCTATTCATTTAAAGTCATAAATAATTAGACTTATTGCAAGCTTAGAAAATTAAGTTTAATTGTTTTAATTTTTTTTTCCTTGTTTAACCCAAATCAACTTAACAACTCCATTTAAAGCACTAAAAATTGAATTAATTATTAAATCCACTAAAATATTGGTTTGAGATTAATTATCAAGATCATTGAATGGATTCATATACCTCACATCTTTGAACTGTACTGTCAGACAGATCATGATTAAGTTTTTGAGCAGTTTTGTTTTACAAGTTTAGTTTACTGGGTCATAAACTGCACATCTTTGAACTCTCCTCTGCGATGAAAATGAAACTTGTGTCAGCTTCTGAATCCAAAAATGAACAATCTCAAAAGGCCGAATCAGATTAACGACAACAATATAACTCCAAACCATATTACATTCTCTCACAGATCTCACTCTTGCTAAATAGTTCCTATTGAACTCCATAAATACACGTACACACTCTCTCACAAACACCAATCAAATCCTAGCCTTGAACATACACAACATGGTGAAAATGAAGAAACACATTGAGGAAGAAGAAGGAGAGATTGAATGGCAAGAAGCAGCAGCCATGGCTGCTAGTCTTCTCAAAGCTCGGAGATCAGCAAGAAAGAGATTCATTGGGGTTCGTCAGAGACCTTCTGGGAGATGGATTGCAGAAATCAAAGACACAATTCAAAACATAAGAGTTTGGTTGGGTACTTATGATTCTGCAGAAGAAGCTGCAAGAGCTTATGATGAAAGCAGCTTGCTTGCTTCGTGGAGCCAACACTCGCCGAAACTTCTGGCCTTCTTCTCATCAGTTTAATAATTCCCCGGCAAATCCAGTTCTTCCCAGAAAGATTGCCAATCTCATCCTTCTTCGGCTCAAAGCTCGAAACCTTGCTTCTTGTAATTCTGCTCCATTGGGTCATTTTCCCAGTAACCAAACAGAAGAAGAAGAACCCAAGATCCAGCTTGATTATTTTCTTGATGGGTCTGATAATTATAGATCTGGGGGTACTACTAATGGTTTTTGTAGTGATGGAGTGATTGAAGAGGGCTGTGGGAAGAGATTCAATCATGAGGAAAGTGTAGGAAAATCAGAAGAAGATAAGATGGCTAATCTCATGCTTCTTAGGCTAAAACATGACACAGTCTCTGATTCTGAAGTCACTCATTTTCCCAGTAACCAAACAGGTTTGTACAACTTTCTAGAAGAGTCAGACAATAGTTTTTTCACTGATTTTGGATTTGGAAACAAAACGAACATGGATGATGAAGTAGGATTATTTAGTGAAGAAAATTATTATGAGGTGCAATTGAAAATGATTGAGGAAAACATTGAAATTAGAAGGGAAAGGAAAGGTTTATTGATGATGAATCTGATATCAAGAAGTTCATGGATTTCCAGTTTTTGGATAACGTGGGATCGATTTGTTATTCTTCTTCTCCATTTGAGATCGCAGAGGAGATGATAGGGCCAATGGATCAGCAAGACTTACATGATTATGAACATGATGGTGCTGCAAATTATGAACCATCATTTCTCAGAGAAACTTTTAGGATAAAATATGAAAGAAAATTCTCAGCTTGTCTGTATACCTATGTTGGTGTTTCTGAGTGCTTGAGGCTGCAATTTGAATCAGAAAATGCAGATTATGGGTTGGAAAGTTTCTGAAGATTGGTCTTCCTTCTTCAAATTTGGCAGCAAATGAGGACGGATTAACTGGGATTATGATTAGGACTATTTTACAGTAGAGATTTAATATTGCTTCTTAGTTCTTCATTATTAGCCCATTCTTTCACATGATGGTCAATAATAAATTAATAAAGATTATAGCTATGAATTCTTTGATCCATTGTTGAGGATTTTGGCCGCACAGTAATAAAATTTTAGATCTCTCTCCATATAAAATGTTTCAAAACTTACAGTGATTCTTGCTATTTGCAAAAGTATAGCATCTTGCACTCCGAGAGTTTTGTAAAAAACTACTATCCAGAGATTTGTAAGTACCACTTTATTTTCACTCCCTTTATACTTTGCATGGGATAAACAAGAATACATAAATGGCCATAATGCTTCCAAGAAGACAATCGAAGATTGGTATAGTACCCGTTATTATGATGAGATTTCAATCATCTAAATTTACTTTGGACAATTTAAATTTAAAGTCTAAAATTTATAATTTTTAGAACTTTTTTTTTAATAAGGCTTAGAATATTATCTATTTAAAGTCTAAAATTTATAATTTTTAATTTTTTTTAAATAAGGCTTAGAATATTATCTCTATTTAGATTGTGTATGTATTAAAAAACAAAATTTATAAAAAAATAAAAAAATAACACTTAATTTTGGCAGTATAAGTTTAATTTGAACAGTTTAGAAAAACAATTCTTACCAATTTTTTCAAATGACCCTTGGAATCATTCCACCTATCCCTTTTAACCTTTCTTTGGATTGATTTCCTAATTTAATAACTCATCAACATGAAATTTGCAGAACCCATCATAGTTAAATATTCAAAAGACATTAATGTAGCTTTTGCAATTCATATATTTTAAAAATTTATAAAATTTAGTTGTGTATGATCCAAATTCACTGACCCTAAATTACTTATAAAAACTCAAATTAAGTGCACTTACTTAGGGAAATGGAAATAATGGGTCAAGGTATGAAAATAAATAAATGTAAGAGCTTAAGAATTAGTCCATCAAAACAACATGAAATAAAACATCAGAAGTTATTGGGCCCAAATATGCAAAAACTCTACACAACTGTTATTTGAAGTCTCTTAAACATAATATTTCACATGCAATGGCATGTACATGCGGAAAATCATGAATAGGCGGGAAAGATTCCATACATGGAAAGTAATGTAGAATGTAGTGAAATCGAAGGCAACAGCCACTATATGACATGGACTTTTGTTCCGTGACATTTCAAATTTTTAATCCTAAATTAATAGGATGGAATGTAATTTAAGATTACTATGAGTGAAAAATGATTTAAGAAAAACTCTTGGCCCATTGGGCTTTTCGGATTTGGACCAATGAGTAACTAGGCCACTTGGACTCAAATGATAAAAAGCCTATGTAGGTAGTTGGTCTTTAAATGTCATTCATTATGGTACATAGCACAATTCGACACAATAAATAGTCAAAATTTAAAGATATCTAGTTGTGGAAATTAGATGGAAAAAAAAAAGAGAGAAGGCTAATTATAATTTTGAGTTTACGATTGATTTTGACATATATAGGAATGTTAGAATATCATTTTAAGAAAATGGTTGGATATATTTTGTTAAAACCATGATTTTAGTCTTTAAAATTGATTATACTTGGTGTCCAAACATGCACTTAATTATTGCTTTTGGGCAAATAACGTTTCGAACCACGTTTCCCATTATTTCAAACATACATTTTTACTTCAAGGCAGCTCAAACTTTTTTTGTTTTTTGGCCAAGGCAGCTCAAACTTAATCAAATATTAGATGTTCTTCGCCTATCAAAAAAACAAATTCAATAAATATACCTTCCGGATCATCATAAATCCGTGACAACATTATTTATTCAGCATAGCCTGACTTTTTGTAGTTATGTCTACCTTAATTTATTGCATTCAGTAAGCTAACGTTTTAGAAATATACGCTTTATCAAGTAAGAGAAACTAATAAATAAATCCTCGTAAAATAGGCTAATAATAAAATAGTACCGTAATTACTTTAAAATCACCAGGAATGTTATCTAGCATAATTTATTTTTGAATAAACTGTCATAATTTTTTTACAAAATACATTTTGACTCTCTAAAAAAAAATAACAACATATAGGTTTATTGCAGGACTAAACTAAAGGTATGACCAGCTATCTAATATATTATTGATAGTAATTATTAATATCTAATTGAAGTTGTTAGTCACTAAGCTAAGTTGCTAAAATAGGAAATGCATTTGTCATTGTATAGCTATATTAACAATTAACGCTTCTTTCGACTAAAAGGAAAAATTATGCTCTTATTTATATAATTTTTCCTTCATTATTTACAATTTCAATTAAGATATTAGAAAATATTTTTAATTATTTGCTTAGGGCCAGAAACATAATTTCATTAAAAAAAAATTATGTCAAATAAGTAGGACTAGTGCAAAAACCCAATAGTCCTATAAAAATCATCCCAACC